ACGGGGCGGGGGAGAGCGCGGGGGAGACGAGGCCGGGCGCTCCGCCGCTTGAGCCACGGCGCCACTTCCGGCTTTTTGCTGGTTCCGGGGCTGGATTTGAACCGGGGTCCCCGGGGGGAGGCTGGCCGGGGAGGGTCACGTGGCAGGCCCCCCACGCGCACACACACACAGGGAGCGGAGGTGGGCGTGCGGCCTCCGTGCGCACTGACCGCACGAGGTGGGGACCGGGGGTGTCGGGTCCCGAGTTCGAGTCCCGGGCGGGCGGGGTGCGCCGGGGAGCCGCCCGCCCTCGAACCCAGGGCCCGGGCGGCTCCTTCGGGGTGGGTCTTTGGTCCTCCCTGCCCAGGCTGGCTTCGAACTGCGATCCTCAGCTGTCAGCCTCCTGCGTGGCTGGAAATACACGTGTGAGCCAGAAATGTCCAGTTGCAGAATCGGCAGGAAACGGGCGAACCACAGCAGAGAGGCCCATCCGCTGCGCTGGACATTCACGAAAGCGAAGTAAGCAACTCAAGGGCAGCGACGGGAGGGAGGGAATGAGAGAGAAAGGGGGAACAGCTGACACTCAGCAAAAGGAAAGAAATCACCCCATTTGGAAAAAATAGTTGTAATGACAATGCACCTCGTGAAGGTTAAAAAGCGTTTGTGACTTTTAACTATCAATATGCCACAATACTGTGAATTTTGTGAAATCTGTGTAATCACTTAATCTCAATAAAAATTATTTTTTAAAAATGTCCAGCTCAAGATTAACAGTAGTGCTGTGAAGTCACTCAACAACGTAGGTACTGATACAGGAACCTGTGTGATACTTGGGTCTAGAAACCTAGAGTGTGTGATAGTTACCAGGATATCAGCAAGTTGAGTCTAGGGTAGAAGCAGAAGGCCTTACTATTGCTTTTCTACTACTACTCACGGGCTTTACTGTTGGAAGTACAGATTGGTTTGCCAATTCTGCAGCGTGATTTGGTGCTCCAGGCAAATTAACTATCTTCATATCCTATGACTCCAAAATTCTCTCCCTGACTGTACCTCCCATGCATCTTTCCCTGGGGGTTTATAAGGAAGAACTCATCATTTGTGGGAGGAGCAGCAAATGCACAACATGGAGTATTATGCAACAGTTAAAACGGTGGGTTAAATGTGCACACAACAGTGTAAATTGATTTCAATGGTATGTGCTGAATGGGAAGGAAAACAATGAGAGATAATATAGCATACTATTCCAATAAAAAATACATGCACACAGAGCAAGCAATAAATCACATTTCATCAGAGGAGTACCAAGAGATATACATCAGGCATAATACAATCGTTGCCTCTGGGAGAAGATTTAAAGGGAAATAGGAAAGAGATCACTGAATTATTTAATAATCAGTCATTCACAAGAGGAACAGGACAGCACAGCCTGAACGGAAGAGTACAATGAGAGCTCCATACTTCAGGAGCAGAGAGACAAGAAAACCACGATGGCTCCACCTCTGTCCCTTCCTGAACTCCTGTTCCTGGTCATTATAAAGTCAGCTCCAGGAAAGGACCAACAGGAAAACGGAAAGGTTAAGCCTGGATGAAGTCACAGTGTAGGGTCACCTCTCGCTGCAAAAGGCCCGAAGTGCAGCTCCAATACCAGCTTTGAAAAGGCCGAGAGAGAGGCCCTGAGTTCAAGCACCAGCACAAAGGAAAAACAACAAGATGAGATAGGATGTTTGTGTTTCATATATAGGTATGTGTAGATATATATTTCATAAAAAAGGTTTTCTGATTTTTGGGTTTTTTGTTGTTTATGATGGGTCTTGAACTCGGGGGCCTGGGCGCTGTCCCTCAGCTCTTCAGCTCAAGGCGAGCGCTCTACCACTTGAGCCACAGTGCCACTTCCGGTTTTCTGGTGGTTTATTAAAGATAGTCTCATGGACTTTCCTGCCCAGGCTGGCTTTGAACCGCGATCCTCAGATCTCAGCCTTCTGAGTAGCTAGGATGACAGGCGTGAGCCACCGGCACCCGACTGTGTGTGTGTGTGTGTGTGTGTGTGTGCGCGCGCGCGCGTGTGTGTATAGTTTTAGAACTTGAAGTTTGCAACTGGAATTTTAAATAAGAGGTTTTTGCTCAGGCTGAGAATAGATTAACTATTTTCTTTTGCCACTAGAGGGCAGCTCGCACTTGGGTGATTTTCCACCCCTTTTAATTCTGTGTAATCAAATATGTATTTCAAGACAGAGAATAAAAGGGGTGTAGGTTTTTTATGTAACCATTTTAGAAAAACAAACTCGCTTGCTTAATTTATCAGATTTACTTTTAAAGGGAGGAGCAAGAGGGAATCTCTGCAATTGAAAGCCTGGTAAATCCAGATGCCGTCCTTGTGCGATCAAATGCATGCGTGAAACTTTCTCTTCGGCTCTGAAGTGGGCAGGGAGAAGTCTGACCCGCTCGTAAATAAAAACATCGTAGCCCCAGAGAAGAGCTGCAGTGGGGCAGGAGAGAGGGACTCTGTAGAACCCTGCTCGGGGGCAAATGCCTCTTTAAACAGCTTTCACTTATTTTCATTTGCTTTCAGATATGTAAATATCTTTGTCTGTGGTAGTGCTGGACTCTACCATTTGAGCTACACGCCCAACCTTGTGTGTGTGTACGCGCTTGTGCACACGCGTGCTCATTTTTCAGGTAGTCACATTTTTGCCCAGGGCTGACTTGAACTGCTCTCCTTCCAGGTAGCCATCCCACCATGCTGGGCTTGGTTGTTGATGTGGTATTGCCTTCCACCCAGACACACCAAAGTCCTGAGTAGCTGGGATTACAGGTGTGAGCCACAGCATCCTGCTAGACCCACTTCCTTTTTTATTTTTTTGTCAGTCATGAGGCTTGAACTCTGGGCTTGGGCTTTGTCCCTCAGCTCTTCAGCTCAAGGTGAACAATGTACCACTTGAGCCACAGCGCCACTTCCGGATTTTCTAGTGGTTTACTGGAGCTCAGAGTCTCACAGACTTTCCTGCCTGGGCTGGTTTTGAACCCCGATCTTCAGATCTCAGTCTTCTGAGTAGCTAGGATGACAGGCGTGAGCCATTGAAACCCAGCCTGAGATCTTGAAAACACCTAGCATTGTTTTTTTTTTTTTTTTAAATAAAGTGAGGGGGAATGGGGGAGAGGAAGGCGGCTCAGTGGTAGAGTGCTCACCTAGCACACATGAAGACCTGGGTTCGATTCTTCTGTGTCAGACATAGAAAAAGCCAGAAGTGGTGCTGTGGTTCAAGTGGTAGAGCACTAGCCTTGAGCAAGAGGCTCAGGGACAGTGCCCAGGCCCTGAGTTCAAGCCCCAGGACTGGCCCCCCAAAAAAGTTACTCAATTCTATTGGGTGCATGAGTGGGATAAATACTGGACTTCTCTGTTCCGAGGGCTTGTGTGTCCCACTGCCTTGCTGGGCCACCTTGGGGCTCCACCGCAGCCACCCTGGCCCCAAACACGATTAACAACATCCTGTAGTTTGGGGGAACCTGAGTTTTTGAAGAAATGCAAATTAATTCCCTAAACGCCTTGTGCTTTGTTCTCTTCCCAACATTATCTATTTTCTTTAAAAATATCTGTCATCCCTTTCCTATTATAAAGGAATTTAGTGCCACTGGAGGAATTAATTTATCTGACTAATGGATATCAAATGATCTCGGCTCCATTTAATGTTGTAGACCACAGCTCAACGGGGCCATTAACAAATGCGCTTGTTTCGGCGTTAATCCCTGCAGTGTTGTGTGCTGGTCATGGGACCTGCGGCTCTGTGGTTCCTCACAAGCTTACCCTACCGACCAGCAGAGAAGCAACAAATAATTTCACAAATGCACTCGTGTGAGTTTTTGATTCTCCCCTGCACGCTCAGAATAATAGATCAGGGACAGGTGCACCTCAAGACACTGCCTTTTCTTCTTCTAGGCTTGGAAAGTTTTTGGAAGTGTTTTGATCATTGTACGAACATTCACCAAGTAGCTGCTATGCGATGGGGGCTGAGGGCAGCTCCTGCCAGCAACGCCCCTGCCCTTGCAGGGGAGAGATGAATAAGTATGTGTGCGCTACATAAGGAGTTATCCGCGTCAAGTAGTGAAAGTGCGAGAAGATGAGGGCACAGGCAGAGTGTGGAGGCTGTCCTCTTAGACCCGGTGGGCCACAGTGTCCCGGGAGGTGGTGATGCTGGACACAGATAGAAGGGACACTGCAAGGCGATCAGCTGAAGCAATGAGGAACAGCCCGTGCGAGGGTCCTGGGGTAGCTGCCAGTTCATCCATGAGTCAGGAAAAAAAGGCATGCCTTAGTGAAAGTGTGGTCAGCAGAGCCAAGGCGCCCCTGAGCCTGGTAGAGCCGTGCGGCCCCCAAAGTCTGTCCTGGTGGCACAAACTGGGGACTCAGAGCAGCGACAGCAAGGCTGGTCCCAGGGAAGAGGAGAGGACTCCTTCCCATCCCTCGGTAGGGGCAGTTTTCTGCCTCCTCTAGGAGGCTGGGGTAGGTAGAGTCTCAAGTCTTAGCTCCAATAAACCAGCAAAAAGGCTAGAAGGGAAGCCGGGTGGGCGCGGTGGCTCACACCTGTCACCCAGCTACTCTGGAGGCTGAGCCCTGAGGATGGGTTCAAAGCCAGTGGGAGGAGGAGGAGGAGGAAAGCCTGGGGTACTGGGAAGCTTTCCCGGCTGTTTCTTGGGTGCAAATGCGTTTGTCCCAGGGGAAGCTACTGATAAGCTTGGGGGTGCTAATCTGCCCCCCCCACTCACATCACTGCTTCTCAAACTAAAAACAAGGCCGCTTCCCAAGCAGCAGCCCAGGCAGCCTCTCGCGGCGGCTCTGGGCTCTGTGTGAGCCTGCATAGATCGAGGGCTGGGGCTTTTGAAAGAAGAGAACTCGGGCAGAAATGGGAGATGCGGCTGACAGACTGAAGTGGAGCCGTGGCAGCCTTGAGCCTGAGGACAGCACCCGGGGCCGAACTCAAGCCCCAGTACTGACACCCACACAAACCACACACATCGCAATATTTAATTCCTCATATCAGTCTTTTTATTAGTCTTCTTTCTGCTGGACTGAAATTTGAACTTGGGGCCTGATGTTTGCTGAGTAGCGACTCTACCACTTGAGCCACACCTCCAACCCTTTTTGCTATAAATGCTTTACATATAGAGCCTCCTGGTTCTGTCCGGGCTCACTCTGGACCTCCAAGTCTTCTACCTCGGCCACCCTGGCAGTCGAGGTAAATGGGAATATGCCACCATGCCTGGCTTTTTTGTTGCTGTTGTTGCCAGTCCTGGGGCTTGAACTCAGGGCCTGGGCCCAGCCCATTGTTTCTCAGTTTTTAGATAAAATATGAGACTTCGAGAGTTTATTTCCTTGGAAGACAGTGCATGATTAACAAATAAAACCGGCATGCTTTCTTCCAAGTTGTATTGACAGCTCATTGTCCTTATTAGACAACACCAAATTTGCTGTGGCGTGTGTAATATATGCTTTCTTTTATTAGTGGAGCAAGAAAACATAAAAAACTTCTGTTTGGGGCTGGGAAGGTGGCTCAGTGGTAGAAGCGCTTGCCTTGCATGCCTGAGGCCCTGGGTTCGATTCCTCAGCACCACATAAGCAAAAACGAAAAAAGCCGGAAAGTGGCGCTGTTGCTCACAGTGGTAAAGTGCTAGCCTTGAGCTGCAGAGCTGAGGGACAGCGCCTAGGCCCAGAGTTCAGGCCCCACAACCGGACCCAAAAAAGAAAAAACAACTTCTGTTTGGACAAGATGAACATCATCAAAGAAAACCAAGTTGAAAAAGCATTTGCGGGGCTGGGAAGGTGGCTCAGTGTAGAGAGCTCACCTAGCATGCATGAAGCCCTGGGTTCGATTCCTCAGCACCACAGACACAGAAAAAGCTGGAAGTGGTGCTGTGGTTCAAGTGGTAAGTGTGTTAGCCTTGAGCAAAAGAAGTTCACGGACAGTGCCCAGGCACTGAGTTCAAGCCCTGGGACTGGCAAAAAAAAAGAAAGAAAAAGGAAGGAAGGAAGGAAGGAAAAAGAAAAGAGAGAGAGAAAGAAAGAGACAGGGCATTTGCCGGTTGCTACGGCCTTGCACATGGACTGGATTTTGCAGTCAGGACTTGAGTCTACCCAAACCCAGGGCTTCCAGGGAGCTAGAACCGCGCTGCGGCTCAGGGCACGGGCTGGCTCCTGCCCCTGAACCCAGGCCCCGGCTCTCCCAGGCCAGGCCTGTGGCTGGGGTTCTCCGGCAGCAGACCCTGCTCCAGTCACGAGCTTGGTCTGTCTCCCAGCACACACACCTGCGGGTGACAGCAGCCACCCCGCCGTCTCTATCTGCCTTGCCAGACAGAATGCCAGCCAGACAATGCCAGCGCTGCCAACAGGGCACCAGGGGTCGGCTGTAAAAACCAGCCCGCGAGGACCCGGGGAAGAGTTCCAGATCTCAATTGTGAGAATGAAATGAATTTTTCCTTCAGATTGGTGGTAAGTAAGGGAAAAGCTACAGCGCTGTCCCCATTGATTAACACCTTGTATGTAGTTTTGCTGTTTCCTGAGTTCGTGTGTGTGTGTGTGTGAGTATGCATGCGCACACATGCATGTGTCAGTACTGGAGCTTGAACTCTGGGCCTGGGCGCTGTCCCTCAGCTCTTCAGCTCAAGGCTAGCGCTCTACCACTTGAGCCACAGCGCCACTTCTTTTTCTGTGTATGTGGTGCTGAGGAATCAAACCCAGGGCCTCATGCATGCAAGGCAAGCGCTCCACCACTGAGCCACCTTCCCAGCCCTAACGAGTTTTTCTATACTCACATTCAGTTAATTCTACTTCTTTGCTTGAGGCGACTTTCCTATTATACTTTTCCCAATTATATAATTAGCTGCTTATGAAGCAAAGAGGGAATTAGATCTTAAGACCAACAATTTTCACATGCTCGGGTTGTTTATAGACTCACAAATACCAACCTTTTTTTTCTGAGTTGTCCAGCATTCAGACTTAGAAATCCTAAACTTGAATGAAATGCTTAACTCTCCCTTAAAAAAAATCTATTTAAATAACTTCAGTAAAACTTCTTTATATTAAAAAGAATCCACAAAGCAAAAATGTGTGATAGAGGTCAGAAAGACACTGTGCCCAAGTTTACCTTTGGCCGGATTATGTAAGCGTTTGTCAAATCAATGACTAGTGGAAATTATTTCAGACAGAAACTTCTAAGGACACTGTGAATGTTTTCTAGACTTTGGTAATACCCATTGGTATGGGGTCATAACTAAATAACCCCATCCATAACGCAAATCCACCCTGACCTGCTTTCGGGGGGCTCTTCCTTAACCCATTTGTGGGGTGTGCCTCGGGACCAGGAGAGTCTTTATGTTCACAGTAAACCAAGAGAAATTTAAAACGTTGAACACAGTTCCGTGATGGAACTGTCTCCCTACCAGCCCTCCTCTGGCCAGGGCGGGGCCCAGTGGGACCGAACAGCTGGCAGCAGCCTGGGCCGGGGCCAAAGCTGTTCCCTGCGCCACCAAACCGGCTTCTTTGGGGCCCTGCTGTCTTCTGTTTGCTGCTCTGCAAAATGGGTAAACACCACAAGGACTTGACAACTGTGAGGACAGACGGACACAAGGACTTGACCACCGTGAGGACAGACGGACACAAGGACTGGACAACGTGAGGACAGATGGACACAAGGACAACCGTGAGGACAGACGGACACAATGACTGGACAACCGTGAGGACAGACGGACACAATGACTGGACAACCGTGAGGACAGACGGACACAATGACTGGACAACCGTGAGGACAGATGGACAGGAGGACAGCCATGAGGACGGAGGGACAGGCCAGGGCTCATCCCCCGCAGCCCTGGCGGCCGGCGGGGCAGGGTGGTCCCTGCGCCGGGTCAGGACTTTGCTCCTCCTCTGTGTTCTGCATTGTTCGCTTCTGCCTCTGCCTCTCCACACCGGAGCCACCGCCTGGCCACCGCCTAAGCCAGACGCGGGGTTCCATCCAAGCCAGGGCTCCCTCCCCCTCCC